GGAGAGGAGAGGAGAGGAGAGGAGAGGAGAGGAGTAAGCAGGCTGATTAAACAGTTACAAACACCCCCTTTCCACCCTCCACAAGCTGCTTTAACTTTGATGACTAGTACTTATTTACAGATGTACATAGTTTTCCCTGACCTTGGCAGTATCAAAGAATTTATACAGTTAGCAGTTCTTGCACAATCTCTAGAAAAGAACAGCACGCATGTTCTATCCTTCGGTGCTAGGCAGGCCTTATTACTCCTGTCCACCAATTTTTTGTCCAGTAAATCAATTTACTTGATTAGGTTCTGGTGCTAAAATAAACTGGTTCCCCTCCTTCTCTCCTTACCTACTTTTCAGACCACAGACGTCAGGAATTCTTTTCTCTTTTTTAAAATTTATTTTTAATGAAGTGGAAGGAAAGAGCTAACTTATATGAAAACTTAATTATCTTAATAGATTATAAACTTATGCATGGAATTAAATGCAAAGGATTTTAAGAATGGTTGCTTTTGTCTGGCAAGTGTGTCTCAGTGGTTGAGTGTTGACCTATGAACCAGATCACTGTTCGATTAGGTCAGGGCACATGCCCAGGTTGCAGTCTCCATCCCCAGTAGGGGGCGTGCAGGAGGCAGCCAATTAATAATTCTCTCTCATCATTGATGTTTCTATCTCTCGTTCCCTCTCCTTTCCTCTCTGAAATCAATAAAAATATATTTTTAAAAAGTTACAAAGAAAAGTAACAGTGAAAAGAACATTTTCACTTCTGACCCCCTAGTTCCCTTATAGTTAGTGTCCACTCCATTTTCTTTTCTTCCAGAGATATTCTGTGTATATATAAGCATAGTGGCATATCACTTTAAAATATACAAAAATACTGCCTGTGTGATCTTAGGCAAATCTTTTGAACTTCAGCATTACCTTATTTAAAATCCTAGATGGAAATAATAATACCCAACAAAACCCACAGAGATTTTGTGGCAACCATTGAAGTAGTGCTTGCGAACATGCTTTGGAAATCAGCGGGTATTATGCTAAGTGAAATAAGCCAGTCAGAGAAAGATAAATACCACATGATCTCACTCATTTGTGGAATATAGAGAACAACGTAGACTGATGAACAGGGACAGATCCAAAGACAGAGAAACAGCGATCAGACTATCAATCCCCAGAGGGAAAGTAGGGGAGGGAGGGGGTAAGGGGGAGAGATCAACCAAAGGACTTGTATGCATGCATATAAGCCAAACCAATGGACGCGGACAACAGGGGGATGAGAGCATGAGTGGGGGCAGGGGGGGGGCAGGGAGGTTGGGGGTTAATGGGAAATGAGGACACATTTGTAATACCTTAACCAATAAAGAAATTAAAAAAAAGAACATAATAAAAAAAAAGAAAATCAGCTGGTATTTTACAAGTACAGGATGGAGGGGAGGGGAGCCTTGGAAGTAGCATTGTCCTTCACAAAGGACAATGAGTCCATGTGATCTGATTTGATAAGAGCAATTCTGAATTGGTAGCAGGGCTGTTGTGTCAGTAGCCTAACTCTATTGGGTGTGTTTCCCAGGTCTTGTCTCTCGTGGCATGTTCTTGGGTTTTCTAAATGAGTAATCAAGAGATACCACTTGCACTTTAATTGTCAGGTGTGTAAGCACTTGGGATAAGAAGTGGGAGCTTGCCAGAATGTGGGACACCTCTGCCTCCCTCCCTCACCCCTCCTCGTTGCTCCCTCTTCATGTTTAGGGAGTTGGTATTGGAACTTGGCTGATGCAACAGTTTGAGTCATGGTCCCTTGGTGCTGTGGGATCCATTCACTTTTAATTGGTAGTTGCTGGAATCATTTCTCCCTCTCTCACCCTGACTTCCTTTTCTAATTTGTTCTCAGGGGCTTTCAACACTTGCTTTAATCAACCAAGGCAGAGCTGCTGCGGAGTCCTAAACTGGCATCTGGGGACCCCAGGTTCTTCTGCCACAATTCCGTTTCTTCAACTTTCTTTTCTAAACTGTTAAAACAACTTTGTCTTTGAATTAGGCCTGGGGGATAGGGGTCCTTTGGGCATTGCTTTCACAGAAGCACCTGGATGGTGCCAACTTCTAGACTTTGCCAACTACTGTTTGCCTGAAGCATTTTGTTCCTGCTAGCAGAGAAGGGAGAAGATGATGTCTGGTTAAGGTGTCAAAAAGGACCTAGTGAATGATGGGAGAAGCAAGGTGAAAACCTTATCATTTGAGTAATGTGAGCCTCGATATATTGGTCCACAGATTGCTTCTCTATTAGCAAAAAGCCTTGTGGAAAACTTAACTTTGTCTGCTTTGTTTGTCACTGCACAAGGAAAGTAAACACTAGTTGTACAGCTCTGGCCAATAATCATTATTAGGTTACATTAAAAAATATTCCTTAAATAGACTTTATTTTTTAGAGCAGTTTTAGGTTCACAGCAAAATTGAGTGGAAAGTACAGAGAATTTCCATATATACCCCTGCCTCCACACTAACATCCTGCCTTGGCTGATGCAACAGTTTGAGTCATGGTCCCTTGGTGCTGTGGGATCCATTCACTTTTAATTGGTAGTTGCTGGAATCATTTCTCCCTCTCTCACCCTGACTTCCTTTTCTAATTTGTTCTCAGGGGCTTTCAACACTTGCTTTAATCAACCAAGGCAGAGCTGCTGCGGAGTCCTAAACTGGCATCTGGGGACCCCAGGTTCTTCTGCCACAATTCCGTTTCTTCAACTTTCTTTTCTAAACTGTTAAAACAACTTTGTCTTTGAATTAGGCCTGGGGGATAGGGGTCCTTTGGGCATTGCTTTCACAGAAGCACCTGGATGGTGCCAACTTCTAGACTTTGCCAACTACTGTTTGGCCTGAAGCATTTGGTTCCTGCTAGCAGAGAAGGGAGAAGATGATGTCTGGTTAAGGTGTCAAAAAGGACCTAGTGAATGATGGGAGAAGCAAGGTGAAAACCTTATCATTTGAGTAATGTGAGCCTCGATATATTGGTCCACAGATTGCTTCTCTATTAGCAAAAAGCCTTGTGGAAAACTTAACTTTGTCTGCTTTATTTGTCACTGCACAAGGAAAGTAAACACTAGTTGTACAGCTCTGGCCAATAATCATTATTAGGTTACATTAAAAATATTCCTTAAATAGACTTTATTTTTTAGAGCAGTTTTAGGTTCACAGAAAAATTGAGTGGAAAGTACAGAAATTTCCATATATACCCCTGCCTTCACACTACCAACATCCTGCATCAGTGGTACATTTGTCACAATCAGTGAACCCACATTGACACATTATCACCCGAAGTCCATAGCTTACATAAGGGTTCACTCTTGATGTTGTACATTCTGTGGGGTTTGACAGATGTATAATGACTTGTATCCACCATTATCATGTACAGAGCAGTTTCATGGCCCTAAAAATCCTCTGTACTCTACCTATTCATCCTTCCCTTTTCCTCCAGCCCCTGGCGACCACTGATGTATTCATTGTTTATTTATTTATTTTTGTCTGTAGATTCTTTTTAAAATTTTATTGTTCAATTACAGTTTACATTCAATATTATTTTTGTGTAACACCTCAGCCCAGTTGTGAGTGCCAGGAGCTCCTGGGCACCAAGGCCTACTGATGATGCCAGGCCCGTTCCCAACCGCCAGGAGCTGCTTTCCGCTCTGTCACTGTGTGTTGGGGAATGCCCCCTCAGGGGAAGTACACGTAAATAAAAAAATCACACTACCATGTAGTACGTGTAATAACAGAAGTGTTGAAAGCAACTTCGACAAATTATTATTTAGCATGTATCCAAGTTTTATTTTAAACTTATCACAAAGGAACTATATCTCTAAGAAAACTTGTTGAAAGAGTTTCTTTTTTTAAAAAAAATATGGTTTATTGATTTCAGAGAGGAAGAGAGGGAGAGATAGAAACATCATTGAGAGAGAATCATTGATCGGCTGCCTCCAGCATACCCCATACTGGGGATCAAGCCCACAACCCAGGCATGTGCCCTTGACTGGAATCAAACCTGGAACCCTTCAGTCCGCAGGCCGGTGCTCTATCCACTGAGCCAAAGCAGCTAGGGCAACAGAGTGTCTTATGGTCAAGTCAAGATAAGTTTTCTTCTTCTTCTCTCTCTCTTAATAGAGAGAAAGTATGTTTAGATAAGATTGCTAGATTAGGTATAAGCAACGAGTGTGAAAGATTATAGAAAGGTCTCATGGCTAGTTAAAAGTCACTGCACCTTTACTATACATTAAACATGTGCAGTTGTTTTGTATATCAATTATACCTAAAAAAAATCTTTAAAAAAAGTCACTGCACCTTTAACTACAGGTAACCCCCATGCTTCAAAAGTTTGCATTATGCTACTTTGCTTTTATGAAATAACTGCATTAGTACCCTTTTTTTGCTAACTATAAGAAATTCGAAGATTTTCACTTTAAATGAATGGTAATTGCTTCTCCACTTTATAGCATAGCCTTAAGAAAGTGTTCATAGGAATGCTCTACTTTTGGATAGTGGGGGATACCTGTACTTGTCCTAAAACTGATAATAAACCTTTCAGGGAAGTCTAACTTCCCTCATATAGGAATCCCATTTTATTATTTCATTAAGGAAAGCCTTTAAAAGATTTAAAGGTATATTGCAATCCAGTGAACTAAGGCTTTTGTAGTCAGCATAGGTATTTAATTGGGTACACTTCCAGGAAAAAAAAATATGGCCTCTAACTACTCAGAGTGGGACCATTGAAAGAACGTATACATCTTCACCTTATTACTTATGAGAACTTGGAAGTAAGGCACATTTTTTGGCTCATGAATTTTGACTAATTCTCATTCTGAATAGAACATTTCTCAGAGCAAGCTTCATGTCCTTATTACGAAGACTGTAGATCAGGGGATTAAAGAGAGGAGTCATTACTGAATACACCAGGGTGAGGATCTTCTGCATCAAAGTTGGGATGCCGTATGTAGGGCTCACGTACATTACCATGACTGTCCCATAGAAAAGAGACACCACAACTAAATGAGAACCACAGGTGGAAAAGGCCTTTCTCCGACCAGCTGCAGAAGGGACCTGAAAAACAGCTCTGAGCAACAGAGTATAGGATCGAAGAATATACATAATAGTGAAAAAGAGGACAAGGGAGCTCTGAGTATAGAAAATAAATTCAGTAACGGGGGCTGGAGCACAGGACAGAGCCATCAGTGGGTCCATGTCACACAGGAAGTGATCAATGATATTGGATGCACAGAAGGGGAGTTGGGAGATGAAGAAAATGGGGATTGGGTAGCCAAGGAATCCGATGACCCAGCATAGAGACACCAGCAGGCCACAGAATTTCCCAGTCATGATGGTGGGGTAGTGCAGTGGGTGGCAGATGGCCAGGTACCGATCATAAGCCATTATAGCCAGAAAAAGACATTCTGTTGTGCCGAGGGAAAAGAAGAAATAGAATTGGAGGAAGCAGCCAGAAAATGAGATGGCCTTGGTTTTGGAGAGAATGTTGGTTAACATGTTAGGAACAGTGGAGGAAACATACCAGATCTCAAGGAAGGCAAAGTTTCCCAGCAGAAAGTACATGGGTGTGTGTAGTTGTGGGTCCCATCTCACTGCACAGATAATGGCTCCATTCCCCAGCAAGGTCAAGACATAAATCACCAAAAACAGTGAGAAAAGGAAAATCTGTATCTCCCAGCAACCAGGGAATCCCAGGAGAACAAACTCAGTCACAAGGTGTGTTGCTGACCTGTTCATGGATCTTAAATCTATGAAGAAGAAAGACATGAGTGTAAACCCAAGTTGATTTGCTTCCTACTTATCTCAAGGACTTTATTGAGAAGGGAACTTAAACTCTATAGGAAAAATATAGGGTGGCCCAAAAATGTATACACATACTTTGTTTTTTATTTTTTCTTACAAACCCTTGTGTCGAGGGCTGACACATAATTTGAATAATTACCGAGGCAGTGTTTATGGAAATACATTTCATTTTCAAAATTGAGCTATCAGCTGTTACAGTACATGTACATTTTTTGGGGACAGCCTCTATATGAGATATTTTGAGACCAGATGGGAATAAATCCCCTTATTTTGAAATGATTGTGGTTCTAAATCTCAGTATTAGTTTTCTAGAATCCAAATGCAGCAGTAATTTTCCACACCAGTGGTACAACCAGACAAATTCATTTCATTTTTGCTTTGATCCTTAAGAAGAAAATTTTAGATTTGAGTTTGTTTTTCTAAAGGTCTTTATGCACAAATTCATCCACTTTCTTATTCAGCTTACATTGTTAAAAAAAAGGGGGGGGGGATATATTTTGAGGGCAGCTGGTGTAATTGTGGGTTAAATCCTTGGCAACCGAACAGAATTAGTTGAATTGCACATGGATATAAAACTTACTCCAGGACACTGGCTTTTCAGAATAGTCTAATCAACTGAATTAATTGTCACAGATGTCACTACACTCAAGACTCAAGGATGTTCTTAAATTTTACTTCAAAGATTTTCTTTTAAAATATCACTCTAACCAGTTGAGTGACACCTAAAAAAATGTACTAAAGACCCAACATGTAAAATATCTTTGCTCTAAAGAATGAGTGAGAATATTATTTGCAAATGTTTATCTTCATGTTTTTACACATACTATACAAAATAAACTGTCTTACTTTTCATATTCAGATCCTACCTAGATAAAATAAAGAAAATGGTGCTTTCAATACAAAGGTTTAGTTCATATAGTAAGTATTTTTAGGTGATAAGAACAAAGGGATTGGAGATCGAATGGGTTTTATCTGCAGTTTTATCTTGTAAAATTAATTTTGTTCTATGAAAGGGAAGAGAGGACATTTTAAAATATTTAGACAGGTGGATACTTTTCTCTAATATTTAAGAATTTATATTTAAGAGTTAAACAAAAATGTACAAATCTTGGTGTTTTAGCAACAGAGTAATCTTGCAATTGATTAATATTAAAAAGGCATTGATTTTTAGTCTTAAAAATAATAGTTTCACTATTGAGTTTTCTTTTAAAATTCAGATCTCTTGCCTTGCACATTTAAGGTCACCAGTCGTAACTTTTTCAGGAATGGAAGATAAAGAAATTTGAAAGGCAAAGAACAGAGAAGGAATTGAGATTTGAACTTCAATACAGTATTACTAGTCCCCTGTTGGTGGTTTTTAAGAAGCATAAAAAAAGGAGGTTTGAAATTCAATACAGTATCACTAGTCCCCTGTTGGTGGTTTTTAAGAAGCATAAAAAAAAGAAGGTTTGCCCTGGCCGGTTTGGCTCGGCAGATAGAGCGTCGGCCTGCGGACTGAAGGGTGCCAGGTTCGATTCCTGCCAAGGGCACATGCCCGGGTTGTGGGCTCAATCCCCAGTGGGGGACGTGCAGGAGGCAGCCAATCAATGATTCTCTCTCATCATTGATATTTCTAACTCTCTTTCCCTCTCCCTTCCTTTCTGAAATCAATAAAGATATATTTTTTAAAAAAGGAGGTTTGAGCTCAGTATGGCTCAGTTGGGAGAGAAGTCCTGTACACCTAAGGGTCGTGGTTTCCATTCCCAGTCAGTGCACATACCTAGATTTCAGGTTTGATTCCTGGTCTAGGCACATGTAAGAAGCAACTGTTCTATGTTTCTCTCTCACATCAATGTTTCTCCCTCTCCCTTCTTCTCTCTCTAAAATCAATGAAGAACATGTCTTTGGGTGAGGATAAAAAAAATAAAAAAGGAGATTTCAGCATCCAAATTCTAAAATACAGTTTTGCAATCAATGTTGAATTTAAAGGCATTTAAAAAAAAATCCTCACCAGAGGATATTTGTCCATTAATTTTTTTTAGAGAGAGTGGAAGAGAGAAATATTGATGTGAGAGAAACACATCAGTTTGCTGCCTCCTGCAGAGCATCAACCATGGTCCGGGCTGGGGAGGAGCCTGCAACCGAGGTATGTGCCCCTGACCAGAATTGAATACGGGACTCTCAAGTCCGCAGGCCGACCCTCCACCCATTGAGCCAAACCAACCAGGGCCAAAGGCATTTTTAGACATTTTTAAAAGTCACCTTCACTGAATAAGATGCTCAATTTATAATTCTCAAACTGTTATTTATGAAGTATAAATAAATCACTTTCCCTTCTGCGAGTCATGAACAAAGTCCAGCTCATAGATTTAAACCAGGAAGCAGATTCATGAGATCCTTGCTTCCTGTCCTTCTTCCTGAAAAATGGGCTGTGTCTGCTTACTGTGAATAACAGTTCAGGACACTCTCCATTATACACGGACAACTTTATACCTCATTTTGTCTTTTCTACCACCAGTCCATATAAGATTTATTACTAGCAACATTATTTTTCGTATAGCCTTTGGTGAAAGTGAAGATAAGTAATGAGATGTTCAAAGGGTGAGGAGCTTAGTGGAAAAGAGTAATCAATTTTCATTTTAATCATTGATAGAATAAACTGACCCTCTCAAGCATAATTCCACCCTCCAAAGCCTCCAAAATTATTTGCTGGGAATAGTTAGGGTATTAGAATGGAATGTTCACCATTTTATGCCATGAACATACTGTTTCTTATGTTTTTGAGATTCATAAATTATCATATGAGCTACAATCCTAGGGGACTAGCTCTTTCATACTCTCCTTTCCAATAAAATCAATCAATCAATCAATCAATCAATCAATTCACCAGTCTACCCACCTCAAGAATAATAACTTGATTACATAGTCTTCTTCCAAATCTTCTTCACTTGGTATACTGTCTTCTCAGGTAGTCTGAGAGAAGAGTATATACCGCCTGATTACTCCTGGAAAGTGAGATTATTTTCAGAAAGATGGTCCCTAATAAGCAAAATCATAGAAGTTGGAAAAAAGTAGTGCAGATGATCTCTTTTAACTACTCATTTTACAGACAGGCTTCACAGAGGGTGCATGACTTTTCACCCAATGAACATTAAGTGTCCTATATTCACAGATGGAACGTTTACATTATCCCACTGTAGAGGAACAATGACTAATCAGATTTTATAAAGTAAAAGGCACTCTGCACTATATCACAGTGGTGGTTGTAATGTGGACAATTAGTCCTTTTTCTCCTACATACAGTGATGGATTTGTTGGCTCAGCTTGGAGAGAGGGATGGGCACAGTGGTGCTGAACATAAAGGCATCTCCTTTTCACTGGCTCCAATGATGAAAAGTCCAGCTGAGGGCACTCTCTGTGGTTCATTGGACTTCCTTCATTTCTGGAGGTTCCAGATGCTTGTTTTCTGGGAGTTTGCTCAGACATTTAACATGTGAAGCAGTGGTTTAATCTATGTTTCCTCTCAGGGATTTTCCTAAAACTCCATGTCTCTCCCCAAGTGGTCTCAGTGGCTTCTTTAAGTGTCCCTGGAGTGCAGCCTCTCTCCAATCTTTGGGGCTCATCCAGTTCCTAGGGGTGGCCAGAGTAAAGAAAACAAAATCAATTCTACCCCAGCCAGTGGCAATCACCATGCTACTTTCTGTCTCTAAAATTTACTACTTTAGATACCGCGTATAACTAGAATCACACAAAATTTGTGCTTTTGTAATTGGCTTATTTCACATAGTATAATCTCTTCAAGGATCATTGATGTTGTAGCATGTGTCAGAATTTTGTTCCTTTTAAAGGCTGAATAATATTTCTTTGTTAGCTCATTTGATTCTACATATGAGTGAAATCAGATGGTATTTGTTTTTCTCTGACTGGCTTATTTCACTTAGCACAATGTTCTCCAGGTCCATCTAAGCTGTCGCAAAGGGTAAAATTTCCTTCTCTTTTTATGAGTGAGGAGTACTATATTGTGTAAATGTACCACGGCATTTTTAACCACTCGTCTATTGATGGACACTTGGACTGCTCCCAAATCTTGGCTATTATAAATAATGTTGCCATGAACATTGGGGTGCATCTACTCTCTCAAATTAGTGTTTTGGGTTTCTTCATAGAAGTGAGATCACTGAGTCATAAGGCAGTTTCATTTTTAACTTTTTAAGGTAACTCCATGCTGCTTTCCAAGGTGGCTGTACCAATCTACATTACCACCAACAGTGCAAGAGGGTTCCCTTTCTCCACATCCTCGCCAACACTTGTTGTTTGTTGATTCATTGATGGTAGCCATTCTGACAGGTGTGAGGTGATATCTTATTGTGGTCTTAATTTGCATTTCTGTGATGATTAGTGACATTGAGCATCTTTTCATATGTATAATGGCCATCAAACTGAACTAACAAGCAAAATAGAGACAGACTCATAGATAGAGAGCAGGCTGACACCTGGGAGAGGTAAAGAAGGGTGGAGGGATTGAGCAGAAAGAAAAAAAAGAAGAGAAAGAGCTCATTGACACAAAAAGTGTGGTGATTGCAGGGAGGAAGTGGGTGAGTGGAGGTGGAAGCGGGTATGAGGGGATAAATGGTGATGAAAAGAATTAAAGTTAAAAAACATACAAATGTTCTATTGTTTGTGTATATAGCATTTAAAAAATCCATTCATCTATTGAATAACACAGATTGCTTCCACCTTTTGGCTATCCTATATAATAAAGAGGTAATATGCAAATTTACCCTCACTCTGTCACGCCATCACAAGATGGCTGTGCCCACAGCAGAGGCAGGGTTCCTGTAACACAAGATGGCTGTGCCTACAATGGAGGCGGGGTTCCCATAATGAACTGTAATGAGCGATCAGCAGGGACTTGAGGCTCTGCCCCCCACCTGTTGGGGCTTGACAGGGGAACTTAAGCTGTGCCCCTCAACCCAGCACCAGGCCAGGGGACCTCAGTACGCATCCCCCACCCCAGC